GAGAAACAATAAATGGATAATCGACGATACGATTGATGCTCTCCACTTTTCGTTTCTTCTTATTCTTTACCTAGGACTGGGACAGAGAGTCTCTATGGGGACTCTGTGATTGCGACAGAGAAACACAGTAGGTACATATGTTGATTTAACTTTCGAAGAGTTGCGAGCAAAATTTTAAATTTCGCTGGAGTCTAAACTAATCTTTTTCTTTTTTTTTTTTTTTTTTTTTTTTTTTTTTTTTTTTTTTTTTTTTGCTAGAGGTTCCAGATTAGCGATGGAAGACTAATGATTGAACTGCAGATATTTATGCAAATGAATGTAATTAAAAAAAAAAAATGGAACTTAAGTGGCTTGAGAACTGTTTTATCTACTGAACGTTGCAACGTGTGCTACATTTTAGATATTTTATATATTTTTGCATATTTTGTGTATTTGATTTTCAATAAATGCGTAAAAATCCGATAGTTTACTAATGAAGATGTCGCGATATTTTTTTCCTCTTCATACTAGTCTTTGACTACAAAAATTTGAAAAATTCGATTTATTATCATTCGTTGCAAAAATTGTCAATTTCTCTAGTAATAATAATAAAATACAGATATTAAGCGTATTTTTATTTTTCAATTCTTTTCAATATTACCAGGCTTCGTTTTTTTAAATATTAGAGCTGTGAAATAAAATCCGATGGATTCGTTGAATATTTTTATCTTCGATTTTATAATTTATGACTTTCAAACCAAAGTATTTATAATATTACGACAAATTACAAATGTTCAATCTCTCCAGCTCTTATCGACGATAATGAATTACTAAAATTAATGGCAATCGAGACGTTCCCTCTCTTTATTTCACTAACAACGTCACAAAGATTATATCTCTAGCAAAATGCAGCTGTTCCAAGTAACATTCGAAAACATCGGAGTTTGAATTGAATTTCTAATTTCCGAACAAACACCACAGTGCTTTACACTTGGAAAAATTTCGAAAGATTCTGAATTAAGGTTTGAAATCGAAAACTTTTTGCCAAACTCTGCTCTCACCTTGCTTTTTCAA